AGGAGTGCCTGAGCACACAAGAGGGAGCCCTCTCCCAGTCTGCCTTGTAGTCGGATGTCCAGTGCTCACCTGGAAGCGCAGCTCCATGCAAACACCCAAATTTCCTGTGTGCCAATTTACTAGACAGAAGCTCAGTCTCCTAAGGCTAAGAGTAGAACACTTTTGTCACAACAAAATACCCTCTTCTGAAACGTGTCGGAGGTCTGAGTCATTGGCAATATCTGTTTTTTATACCAAATTGCTGGCGGCATATTAACTCCTGTATGATGGAATAATAAAATGGTTGTTCCTCGTATCACGCTGCCCGTGGCGCTCTGCCTGGCACACAGAGCAGACAGGGTTTAGGCAGCGGCTGTCTAAAGGCCACGATGACCCAGTCAGACCTACCAGAGAAGAGCTCAGCTGTTGGGTTGATGCCTTCGTTGTTACCCCGATTATCTTGCAGAGATGCTGATGGCTATCTATGCATTCCGAGGAATATTTTTATACCTTATGCAGTTTATACACAGAAGATACTATTAACACTGCTAACAATCTGATCAGCGTATAATCATTACATTACTGTGTATGATAAATAATTCATTACTTTGCGCTCTGCTGTACGAAATGTTAATGTCAAACGAATGCTTGGCTGCAGATTCTTGTTTCTATTTAAGAAGTATCATTTGTAAGAATTAATAAATGATTATTTTTGTCTTCTCAAAGTTTTTCTGAACTTTACTTATGGAAAAACATAGGAACTTTTTCTTGCCGGTTGGGTTTCTAGAGTGCTTGGTGGAGGCAGCGAACAACTACAGCAAAAGACGTTCTATCGGATTCGAGCAGCAAATGTTGTTTAAACACAGTAATCCCTTTATCTGAGGAGGCCGGGTTATCAATAATAAGGTAGATACTTATTTCTGCGAAATGAATCACATATTATTTCAGGTGATTAAGTGTTGAATGAGATAAATTATATACACATCTGGCGAACATGCATGTTCAGCTTAAGCGGAGACTTATTCATAGTGATTTCATACCTAAGAGAGATACGGCAAAATTATAATACTTCTGTGCCAGCCGTGTCCCTGCAGGCTTATGCGGAGTCTACTAAATTGATAGAAATTGTGTAGTTAATGATTTATATTAAGCCATCTGTAAGTTTAGTTTTAAACACACGTTACTCGTAATTCTTAGGCTGAAGAGGAATTTTATAAATTATCCCCGGGCAGGGATACCAAAGGTGGCAGCAACTCCCTTGTCCTGTTCTGGGGAAAATATGGAAAGGAACAGGTTGGAACCCCTCAGAGATTACACGTTATTTTGCTATTTTTTAGCTGAGTCACTGCTTAACTGGGCCTGTCTTTCCACTTCAAAACCCATGAATCCTTATGCAGAAAACACACAAAACAGGTGTATGTTGTACCATTAATATAATTTACTAATTATAAACCTGAATACAGTACATATTGCCCTGCGATACATACATTTGCTTGGCAGAATGTTTGGCATTTTTTGGGGGGGGAAAAAAAAAGCAGCATGTAATAAAATACTTTATGTATATAGAAAATATTTAAAAATATAAAATTCACTTTCTGGTCCTTGTAAAATACTTTGTTCACATATCACAAGTTCAGTCTACTACAAAAACAGTTTTGTAAATTACAGTACATTCACAATTCACTTTTGTGGCAAGTCAGTAATATTAAAAAAAAAAAAAACCCAACAAATAAACCAAAACCCCAAGGGGTCTTCTCGTCATGCTAGTCCAGCATCTTTGGCCATACTGTAGAAAATACCCTTTGATGCTATAAGGCTTGCAGGTGTATCGAATTCAGCTATGGTTCCGTTGTCTAGAACAAGAACCCTGTGCAAAACAAAAGGTGTGGGGGGAGGGAAGATACGTCAGAGAATTCCTCGCAAGAAATGTGACATCCCTTTTTATCACAAAGCAAACTGATCTAATCTTTGCCCTGCCTTTGTTTTGCTCAATTATTTGCACACGTTGAAACACAACAGATGATAAATATTCCTCCTAAGCTGCTGTTTGATTTAAAAAGGTACAGGACAGTCACTATCTCCAGGGGTAATAACGGGGAAAAAAACCCCAACATCAAAAAAAGGCCACGTGTCATACTGGTAGTTCTGGAATTGAAAATATAGTACCCGAAAGCCAAGGAGGTAAAAGGTCATGAAGTATAGTAATGTATTTTAAAGTAATTAATATGACATGATGTTAGCGAAAAAGTTACAGCAGCTGCTGTTTAAAAAAGGATCCATAAGGCTGTGGACAGGGCCATTAATGCAACGGGGTAGTATCTCTTGTGCAGCTCTGGTTAGTGGCTATAGAACCCGTTTCTTATGCCAACAGAAGCGCAGTCGGGTCCGGATATTCTAGGATTATATGGTGTAAACATCATTGCTTACATACTACCTGACAAGAGCACCAGTGTGGCTGTCTAGAGACAAACCAGACCCTTGTAAGTGCTCTTCACACACCCAGTAAACCAGTGAGCACCCCCCGCCACGCACCATTAAGAGACTTTTTACCTTGTGTAATCCATAATTGTGTTCAGCCTGTGCGCTATCGTCAGCACTGTGCAGTCTTCAAACTGGGTCCTAATTGTCATCTGGATAAGATCATCTGTCTCCAGATCGATCGCTGCCGTGGCTTCGTCGAGGATCAAGATTCTTGTCTTGCGAAGTAGTGCCCTCGCCAGACAGACGAGTTGTCTTTGGCCAACGCTGCGAACACAGACAGAACTTTCACAAATGAGGCTCTACTGCCCGTAGCCCTCCACTGCTCAGGAGCACTGGTGCTACAGCGGATTACTCATCAGGTACAGTTACCGAACAAAAGAAATAGTGTTTAGCAAACAGCCTGCTCTGCCAGCCCTAGGGCTAACCCGTACCCACGGCAGCATTACTCAGGTAGTTTTAGAGTATGTCTTCGCTTACTGCCTGGCCCAGTACTGATG